ATGAGAAGATAAGGGGGCAGGGAAACTCGAGCACTGGAAACGAAATAATCAGAATGCAATTAAATAGGATGTGAAAAATATAACTAATGTTACTGAACAATTTGTACAGAAATTGTCAAATGGGAACCTAGTTTGCTGTGTAAACTTCCATCAAAAACACAATACAATATTATTTAAAAAAAGACACGATGATGAGGAATTTCCCAGACTAAAGAAGCAGATAAGACACCTCTGAATGAAAGAGTTCGGAGCTGTCAAACAAGATAAATGAGAATAAAAAATACCACTTAAATGTACTAATATTAATTAAAGATCAAAAGCAGAGAGGAAATTGTGACGTTCCCAGGAGATGGGACAATTAAAAAGAAGGCCATCTACAAAGAAATAATAAGACTGACACTGGGCTCTCAGGAGCGACACTAAATGCAAGACAATAATGGAGTAATAATTTCAAAATGTTGAAGGAAAAACCAAATTACAATTTTATATCCAGCTATGCTATTGTTTAAATCCAAGAGTGAGACGAAGATATTCTTAGGCATATCAGTTTTCAAATTTAACAACAACAACAAAAAAACCCCACCATATTTTAAGGAACTGTTAAGAGAATGTTCTTCAGCAAGAAATTAATCCAGGAAGAAACACTGGGAAGTAAGATTGAATACACAATTTAGTGAGGTTTTACTGTTACCTAAGTAAGCAACACAAAAGAAAAAAGGATGAGAGCATACCAAGGTATTTTTTGTTTCAGAGGAAGACTACGTGATAATATTAAGAAACTGACAGAGAAAAATAAATATATGTTGAAAATTAGGACTTATAAAAAGAATAAATGTATAACTTTCTTTATAGAAAGAATCAACATTATATGGACTATTTCCTCTGACCACAATATACTTCCATCAGAAATTCAATTTCTACGAGAGCTTTAAAATTTCCATGTTTGGAAACTAAAAAAAAAAAAAAAAACACTAAATAACTCTTGGGTTAAAGATGAAATAATGAGGAAAAATTACAAAACCCTAAGTACTGATTGATAATAAAATCTCATCATTTCAAGAGTCATAAGTCGTTGCTAAAGCAGCAGGGAAATTTATAACTATGAGTACATTTATCAAAAAACAAGAAACACTATGAACAGTAAATGCATTTACAGCTGCTCTCCTCTTTAACCATATTAAAATGATACTAAAATTCCAGGTTAAGATGGGGAATTAAACAAGGATCCAATTTTATCCTCTCCCCAAAACTACAAAAAAGACTTAATTTAAAAAAAAAAAAAAAAAAGGCAAGCATGTAAGAAATATAAAAACAGAAGATCAGAAGAAACAACAGCAACCGCAAGGCAGATTGACAAATGGTAACTGATTAAAGCCAAAATCCCAAGCTGGCATTGGGTAAGGTGAGAACCAAACCAATTTATACTTAGAATCCTCCTCCTAAAGCCCAGGTGGCAGCACCAGATTCCTCCAGAGCTGGGACTAAGTAGGTGGTAAAATGAGCACCAGGTAAAAGTTGGTGTGAAAAATAGTTAAGATCTCTCAACGCCATGCTGCTGGGTGACTGCCCTCCTCCAGCGGAAGTCTGCACACTGGATCACTAAGGGTGTAACAGAGAGTCTCTGGATGGGGCAGCTCAGAGAAATCCAAGGCACGGGTGTGCCTTACACACTGCGTGCTAAGATCACTCTGCCCCCACTTGGGTTTGGGAACTGTAAGATTCTTCTCTGGGGACTCTTTCTAGCCCAAGAGGAAAGACCTTAAGGAAGTGACACTGGGGGTCCTCAACAGAGGACATACCTAGATAATGTGGCTGTGTACACTCCACCTCATTTTCCCTCAGCCTCTGAAAGCACTGCTCCATTGTCCACCTGCTTCCAGTGTTACTGTTGAGTTGGTTCTCAGCTTTATACAATGTGGCCTGGGATTCTGGCTTTAAGTCAAAGGTTTTTTCAGATACGTAAGGTCTCAAAGTTTACATCGCATGCACCTTTCTTTAGGAAGTCACTAAGGATGTGTTCCATTAAAATAAGGAAGTAAACCTACAAGAAGGTGAAGATGGGGCACAGGAAACAGGAGATCCAGTGCAGATGGGGGGGAGGTCTGAGGATCACTGCTGAGAAGCACATTCAAAGGGCAGACAGTGCAGAGTAGACATGAGTGACTCAAGGGGCAGACAAAGTAAGGCTGTCATCACTAAGTCTCTGCTACCATTGTTCATCTTTTAAACCTAAAGGGTCTTGGCCCAGATCTCATCTGTGCTCAGCCTGTCTTAGCCATGCACTGATGAGACTCCTGCACTCCCTCCATGCTGTCCCCCCAGGTGAGCTGAGGACACTCACCCCACACATAACTGCTATGACTTTTCCTGCAAGCTACAGGTAGGCCAGGAAACCCTGGTGGAGTAGTGGTTAAGTGCTACAGCTGTTGACCCAAAGGTCAGCAGTTTGAATCCACCAGGCACTCCTTGGAAACTCTATAGGGCAGTTCTACCCTGTCCTATAGGGTTGCTATGAGTTGGAATTGCCTCGACGACAACAGATTTGGGTTTGTTTTTTTTTTTAGAGGTAGGCCATGTCAGCCCATAGGCAGGACACACACAGGATCCCACTCCTTCTGCCCATATTTCTGCCCTATCCCCTAGCACAGCTCTGCCTGATACTCAGACTGGTGAGCCTCATGTTCCCAGGACTTCCTGATGACTTGACCAGCAACTCCCCACGAGGGGCTCATGGAAGACAAAGCCAGACAATAACCCAGAAAGACTGTTCAGCTCATCCTCTCCTGGAAGCCTTCATCTAACAGGCAATGCTGCCCTTTCCTTACACAGGTAGACGTGTGCTTGCTACTCAGTTTTTAAACTAAAAAGGTACGATTTAGAGAGAGACACAGGAAAACAAACCAGGAATGACCAACACTGAAGGGAGAGAAGCTCCCTCTGAAGGAGTGGGGAGTGCACACAAGGACTTTCAAGGTGTTTGTAACACTCTGTTTCTTAACGCAGGAGATAGATAAATGGGCCTTTACTTTACTAATCTCTAAACTATACCCATATATTCTCGCATTCTTCTATATGTATGACACATTTCACAATTTAAAAAGTATAGGAATTAAAAAGACAAACCCACAGGAACAAACACTGGTGAACAGACGACAATAACAAAAGCATACGGACAAGGGGCAAATGACAACAGACCAAGGGAAGCCGAAATCCAAGCCAGCAGTGAAGAAAGGCCAGGAACAAGGGCATTTAAACAAGAAAGCCTCTCAGAGCACAGCAATCAGAGGCATCAGGCACCACTGCAGTTGAGATGGGGCCATAGGACTACGGATTGTAAGTCTTTTTATTTAAGAGGTTAAAGGCTCCAATTATACCCTTACTGCTCACATCCAGAAAGTGACCTTTCCCTCTGGAGAAGGTCAAGAGAGACTCTGGAAATAGCAGTACCAGACACAGCCAAGAGCGGGAGTACTGTCCCAAAAACAGGGAGATTCAGTGAAAGTTTACACACTGAATGGTAGGCTCCTGGCCCCTCCTTCCTCACTTGGTTCCTAGAATGCAGCAGGGCAAGTTAACACTTCCCAGGGAAGGATGAGAAACAGGAGAAAAAAAAAAAAAAATTAAAAGGATCCATCTAGAACAGGGGATGGCAAATTACAGCCCAAAGAACGTATCTAGCCTGCTGCCTCTTTTAGAAAATAAAGTTTTATTGCAACATCCATTCATTACATATTGTCTATAGCTGCTTTACAGCTACAAAAGTAGAGTTGGGTAATTGTGACAGAGACTGTGTGGCTTGCAAAGTTGAAAATAATTACTATCTGGCTCTTCACTGAAAGTTTTCCAACCCCTTGTCTAGAGAGTCCAACATCCACATAATAGGAGCGTTCTAAGTGCTCAGCTACTAACCAAAAGGTTGGCAGTTCAAATGTAGCCAGAGGTGCCTCAGAGGAAAGGCCTGGCGACTGATGTCCGAAAGATCATAGCCATTGAACACTCTATGGAGCACAGTTCTACTCTGAAACATGAGGTCACCATCAGTTGGAATCAACTTGATGGCAACTGGTTTGGTTTTCTGGTCTAAAAAGAGAGGACAGAAAATAGAAGACAGGAAATCAAGAAGACTTCCCAGAACTCAAGAAGGAAAGCTTCTAAATTGAAAGGGCCCATATACCAAATGCCTAGCAAAATGAAAGAAAAAAAGCGTCACACATGGTACATCATTGAATTATATCAGAACGTTGGCAAAAGATTCAACTAGCTTCTACAGAAGATGAAAACAGAAAAACGTGTGAAGAATCCAAATAGGCAATTCAGCAACGGAGAAACAACTAGGAAACAAGAAAAATGAAATGGTTAACCTCACCTCTAATGAGAGAAATGTAAATTTAAAAAAAGATTTCACTTTATACCTATCAGATTAGCAAAACTTAAAGGTCAGTTAACAAGAGCTAGCAAAAATGTGCAGAAATAAGACCTCTCATTCCTGCTGTATATTCTGACAGTTCTTAGTGGATTTAACTGATCCAAGGAGCAGCTGAGTTTCACTAAACCCTTTGAGCAATGCTAACATACACTGATCATTTGGCGGCTATTTCTACATGTTGTCTCCTAACTACACAGATGTTTACACATGTTCAGATCCTCCTCAGCAGTATCTACTACAATGTACATTCTCAACAAATCTGTTGATCAAGTTAAGGCATAAACCATGTACAGCTGCCCTCAAGGACTGTCCTGAATGCCCTCGGTTATGTCTTGAATGCCCAAGGGACGAAAAAAACCCAGATGCATTAAGGCGTGTTCATAACGACCAATTAAATAATAATAATTTTTAAAAATCCCAGTAATGTTTTATAGTTTTCCCTCTTGCTCTTTTCTTCTCTCTCCCAAAATCACTCAGGATTTTAAGTCACAGCATCACCACTATCCATTCCCCAGTGCTGCCTACCCCACCTCCACCCCTGCCCCCCGAGTTCTGAGCATGTGCTAGCATTTACCTGGTATCGGTCAAGGATTCTGAAGTCTTGGCAGGTTGTTCTGTATGTGGCATGGCCAGCTGGAAGCCTACAAATGCCTCCTTCTTTGGCTCCATAAATCCCGTCAACTAACAGAAGAGCAGCATTAACAACTTGATCCAAATCAAAAAGTGGTAATCCCCTATCCCTTTTTGCTTGTCTGACAATCAACTTCCTCTTCAGTCTCCGAGCTTCTGGTGTCATAGCAACAGCACTGGGACAAGCTTCCAGCCTCTTCAGAAGCAGCTTTTCCTCATAGATGCTCACAGGCGTATACTTGGGACCTTTAGGTCTCGTGTCCTTCTCCAGTTGAGGCTTCCTCTTTTCTCGAATCCTTGTTTGCAAAGACGTGTTGGAATCCGTATCTTCGCTGTCAATGTCCATCCTGTCGGGTTTTTCCTCCTCACTCTCTACCTCCTGCTTTATCTGTTGAGGTGCTCTGACCTTCTTTCTGCCCCCGACCACTGTCCCAGAAGCTGCCGACCCAGCAGGGGGTGGAACGTACTCCATTCCTGGGTCTATGACTCCATCACCTTCCATCTCATCATCATCTGCACAGAGCACAACACAGTGTGATCAAGACATTGGAAAGAAGAAATGCAGAGCCCACAGACCCACAGGGAGAAACTCACAAATTTACATATGGCCCGTGTATAAAATATGTACCTCAAGAGAGGTAAATCTTACCATGAAACAAGGCTTGTGGGGGCATCACATCTGGAATGAGATCTGCTTCTGAAAGCAAGCTAGGAGTGGCTGAATGAGATGCGGGTGTTCCAGGGGCAGAGAAATCCAGAGAAGGAGAAGGAGACGGGCTTGTCAGGGGGGTGCGATCAGAGGAGCTCAAGGACGAAAAGTCAATCACTTCTCCTTTTTCAAGAATCACATCCTGCCTGCGGCCTCGGCTGATGAACTTGACAGGGGTAGAAGAAGTGCTTCTGTCAAGGAAGCCCGCTGCCTCTTTCTGAGCTCTTCTAATGTCTTTTGCTTCCTGAGTACGACACCTTTTCTCTTTTAATTCCATGGCAGATTCCACAGTATTCCGACTCACCCGTTTCCTAAGTCCCTCGACAGTAATGATGGGATCTAAAGTTGGTTTCGAGGCTAGTAGAAAAGAATAAATATTTAAATTCTTAAATAACTATTCAACTTCTCTTTTGCTAATTTATTACTATGAACCTAGAACTCTATGTTCTACTTAGAGAAAATGGTCAATGAATGCCCTAAACCAAAAGACTTAAACAACTCTTAACAAGAAAAAGGAAGTTATCATTACAATTTAAACAATTAAATACTACTTTTCACCTACTGGAAGAGCAAATGCTAGGAATTTGATAACGCTCAGCAAGAGGCATTTTCATGCATCGTTAAAACCAAAAAAACCAAACCCGTTGCTGCCGAGTCGATACAGACTCATAGCATGCCTACAGAACTGCCCCGTAGATAGGGTTTACAAACAATGGCTAGTGGAATTGAACTGCCAACCTTTTGATTAGTAGCCGAGCTCTTAACCACTGCACCACCAGGGCTCACTGTTGGTTTTAGGTGCTGTTGAGTCGGTTCTGACTCATAGCAACCCTATGTACTACAGAATGAAACACTGTCCAGTCCTGTACCATCCTCACAATCATTGGTATGCTTGAGCCCATTGCTGCAGCCACTGGGTCAATCCATCCTGTTGAGGGTCTTCCTCTTTTATGCTGACCCTCTACTTTACCAAGGATGATGTCTTCTCCAGGGACTGATCCCTCCAGATCACATGTCCAAAGGATGTAAGACGTAGTCTTGCCATTCTTGCTTCTAAGGAGCATCCTGGTTGTACTTCTTCCAAGACAGATTTGTTCATTCTTTTGGCAGTCCATGGTATATTCAATATTCTTCACCAATACCACAATGCAAAGCCATCAGTTATTCTTCAGTCTTCCTCATTCATTGTCCAGCTTTTGAATGCATATGATGCAACTGAAAATGCTCAGGCACACCTCAGTCTTCAAGGTGACATCTTTGCTTTTCAACACTTTAAAGAGGTTTTGCAGCAGATTTGCCCAACGCAATGTGTCTTTTGATTTCTTGACTGCTGCTTCCATGGGTGTTGATTGTGGATCCAAGTAAAATGAAATCCTTGACAACTTCAATCTTTTCTCCATTTATCATGATGTTGCTTATTGGTCCAGTTGTGAGGATTTTTGTTTTCTTTAGTTGAGGTGTAATCCATACTGAAGGCTGTGGTCTTTGATCTTCATCAGTTAAGTGCTTCAAGTCCTCCTCACTTTCAGCAAGCAAGGTTGTCATCTGCATAACACAGGTTGTTAATGAGTCTTCCTCCAACCCTGATGCCCTGTTCTTCATACAGTCCAGCTTCTCAGATTATTTGCTCAGCATACAGATTAAACAGGTATGGTGAAAGGATATAACCCTGACACACACCTTTCCTGACTTTAAACCATGCAGTATCCCCTTGTTCTATTCGAACAACTTCCTCTTGATCTATGTACAGGTTCCTCAAGAGCACAATTAAGTGTTCTGGAATTCCCATTCTTTGGAATGTTATCCATAATTTGTTATGATCCACAAAGTCGAATGCCTTTGCGTAGTCAATAAAACACAGGTAAACATCTTTCTGGTATTCTCTGCTTTCAGCCAGGATCCATCTTACATCAGCAATTATGTCCCTAGTTCCATGACCTCTTCTGAATCCAGCTTGAATTGCTGGCAGTTCTCCGTCGATGTACTGCTGTAACTGCTTTTGAATGATCTTCAGCAAAATTTTACCTGCATGTGGTATTAATGATATTGTTCAATAATATTTGCATTTGGTTGGATCACCTTTCTTGGGAATAGGCATAAATATGGATCTCTTCCAGTCGATTGGCCAGGTAACTATCTTCCAAATTTCTTGGCATAGACGAGTGAGCACTTCCAGGGCAGCAACCATTAGTTGAAACATCTCAGTTAGTATTCCATCAATTCCTGGAGGCTTGTTTTTTGCCAAAGCCTTCAGTGCAGCTTGAACTTTTCTTCCTTCAGTACCATCGGTTTCTGGTCATATGCTACCTCTTGAAATGGTTGAACATCGACCAATGCTTTTTGGTATAATGACTCTGTGTATTCCTTCCATCTTCTTTTAATGCTTCCTGCATTGGTTAATACTGTCCCCATAGAATCCTTCACTACTGCAACTCGAGGCTTGAATTTTTTCTCCAGTTCTTTCAGCTTGAGAAATGCCGACCGTGTTCTTCCCTTCTGGTTTTCTATCTCCAGCTCTTTGCACATGTCATTATAATACTTTGTCTTCTCAAGCCGCCCTTTGAAATCTTCTGTTCAGTTCTTTTACGTCATCGTTTCTTCCTTTTGCTTTAGCTACTTGACATTCAAAAGCAAGTTTCAGTCTCTTCTGACATCCATTTTGGTATTTTCTTTCTTTCCTGTCTTTTTAATGACCTGTTGCTTTCTTCATGTATGATGTCCTTCCACAACTTGTCTGGTCTTCGGTCATTAGCGTTCAACACGTCAAATCTATTCTTGAGATGGTCTCTAAATTCAGGTGGGATATACTTAAGGTCGTATTTTGGCTCTCATGGACTTGTTCTAATTTTCTTCTGTTTCAACTTGAACTTGCGTATGAGCAACTGATGGTCTGTTCCACAGTCGGCCCCTGGCCTTGTTCTGGCTGATGACATTGAGCTTCTCCATCGTTTCTTTCCACAGATGTAGTCGGTTTGATTTCTGTGTATTCCATCTGGGGAGGCCCACGTGTATAGTTGCCGTCTATGTTGGTCAAAAAAGGTATTTGCAGCGAAGAAGTCACCGGTCTTGCAAAATTCAATCATGCGATCTCTGGCATCATTTCTATCACTAAGGCCGTATTTTCCAACTACTGATCCTTCTTTGTTTCCAACTTTCGCATTCCAGTCACCAGTAATTATCAATGCAGCCTGATTGCACGTTCAATCAATTTCAGACCACAGAAGTTGGTAAAAATCTTCAGTTTCTTCATCTTTGGCCTTAGTGGTTGGTGCATAAATTTGAATAACCATCGTATTAACTGGTATTCCTTGTACGTGTATGGATATCATCCTATCACTGATAGCGTTGTACTTCAGGATAGATCTTGAAATGTTCTTTTTGACAATAAATGCAATGCCATTCCTCCTCAAGTTGTCATTCCCGGCATAGTAGACCATATGACCGTCTGATTCAAAATGGCCAATCCCAGTCCATTTCAGCTCACTAATGCCTACGATATCAATGTTTATGCATTCCGTTTCATTTTTGATGATTTCCAATTTTCCTAGATTCATACTTCGTACATTCCATGTTCCAATTATTAACAGATGTTTGCAGCTGTTTCTTTTCATTTTGAGTCGTGCCACATCAGGAAACAAAGGTCTCGAAAGCTTGACTCCATCCACGTCATTAAGGTCGACTCTATTTTGAGGAGACAGCTCTTCCCCAGTCATCTTTTGAGTGCCTTCCAACCTGGGGGGCTCATCTTCGGGCAATATATCTGACAATGTTCCACTGCTATTCGTAAGGTTTTCACTGGCTAATTCTTTTCAGAAGTAGACTGCTGGGTCCTTCTTTCTAGTCTGTCTTAGTCTGAAAGCTCAGCTGAAACCTGTCTGCCATGGGTGACCCTGCTGGTATCTGAATACCAGTGGCATAGCTTCCAGCATCACAGCAACATGCAAGCCCCCACAGTACAACAAACTGACAGACATGTGGGTGCCAGGGCTCATTAGTAGGGCATAAATCTTATTACAATTTTTGGGAGGGCAGTCTGGTAATACAGATTAAAATTTTGAATGAATAGGCCCTTTGATACAGCAATTCTGTTTCTAGGAATTTATTACAAACATATTTGTACATGCACACAAATTTGTACAACTGTAGCACTGTTTAAAATAAAAACAACAAAAAAAGATAGAAATAACCAAAATGTCCATCAATAGGGGGATGGTCTAATAAATTATTATATAGCCATACAATAAAATAAAATAAGGCAGATCCACATGCGCTGTTCTGGAAAGATGTCCAAGGTATACTAGTAAGCAGGGGAAAATAAGAGTTTTACAACGTAATCCATTTATATCTTTGAAAAGAAAATAAGAAAATGTACATGCTAAACACGCAGAGGTAACTTCTAAAAAGCCATTACAAGAGATAGTGATGGTTATTCTGGGGAGGGAAACCGCAAGCGGGGCGGGGGGATGAGGAACTTTGACTTTATACACTTTAGTATGATTTTTTTTCCAATTATATTTTTAAAAAAATCTAAAAGTTTGTTAAAAACTTTTTAGAAAAAACAATCAAATCAATAGTAAGGACCTATCATAAATTTCTTTAAAGGGTGAAAATGGCATTATGCTTAGATTACAAAAAAAGAAAGAGTCCTATCGCACAGAACACATACTGGAATATTTAAGGATGAAATGTTGAGGGCTGGGGTTTCTATCTAAATAATCCGGGGGTGGGGTGGGTGGAGGGCTAGGAGAAACCCAGGGGTCTAGGTAAAACGCCACCACCAGGAGATCATCATGGAAGTGGGTGAGAAATACCTGGGAATTGACTATATTATTCTGTCCACTTTTTTTATGTTTAACATTCTCCATAATAAAAAGTTTAAAAACAAAATCAGACTGATAATAGAGAACTTTTCAGATATCAAAGAATATTTATAAAACTGATAACTTTATTAAAACTGCAAAACCCACTGCCGTCAAGTTGATTCCAACTCATAGCGATCCTAAAGGTCAGGGTAGAACTGCCCCATAGGGTTTCCAAGGTTGTAAATCTTTACGGAAGCAGACTGCTCATCTTTCTCCCGCGGAGTGGCTGTTAGGTTCGAACTGCTGACCTTTTGACAAGCAGCTGAGTCCTTTAACCACTGCACCACCAGTGTTCCGGTAACTTCATTAGGAAATGATAATTTTTTAAAAAATATAATGTTTATTGACAGCATACAAAAAATGTGCCATAGTAAAACTGTCAAGCAGAGTAAGAGTGGCTACAGAGATACCAGTGAGCTATGCCTGGGAAAAGCAGGACTGTCTCTTAAGCTCTTATGGGCTTGGCTTCGGTCTAGCTAGCACCTCTTCTAATAGTACCTTTTACTTTCAGAGTAGAGGCAGACAGCTTCTCTCCTTCAGGTTTCATTGTGGGGGGCTTGTTGTGAACAAGTTTCCACCATCCTGGTTCTCCAAATTCCTGAGCGCCTGAACGGAAGTACATCGGACTTCCCACACTGAGGCAACCCGCTACTGTGCTCCACCAGGTTGAAGTCTTTTTCCTGACAAGAACAAGAATTTAAAAATTATTGGCTTCCCAATTCAATCATATAGAAAATATTCCCTCTTTATACCCTCTTGCTTGGTAAGACAAAGGGTCAGAAAAAAAGAGGAAGACCCTCAACAAGATGGACTGACACAGTGGCTACAATGGGCTCAAACATAGCAATTATGGTGAGGATGGCGCACGACTGGACACTGTTTCCTTCTATTGTACACACGTCACTATCAGCCAGAATCGACTCGACGGCCCCTAACAACAACAACAACAATACTCTCTCTGATTCCTACCCTGTGATACGCTATGGAATCTCTGATTTTTCAAGGAATTGAGCGTAAGAGTCCAGAGAGAGGCTCTGGAGTCTGACTGCCCAGCTTCAAGTCCTGGCTCTACCACAAGGACTTGCATCAGCTTCTTCATCTGCAAAACTAGGATAATAAAACTTACTCTGAGATGATTCAATCAAAGCACATAAACTCTTCTCCTCACAATCATCATGATTATGGAGTTCTACAGGCTAATTTCAATGAACTTGAGTTGTTCTGATAAATCTATTAAGCACAATTGTCAAGAAATAAAGAAGCGTAATTCCAAGACTGGGCATTTTGTGATGCGGGTCAATCACTAGCCCTGGGAAACAGTTCACTTTGCCTAAGGAGTCGGATGCACCTCTTGGTCTGGTCCCTTTTGCCTTTATGTACTGGGGTGGTAATAACATTACATGCTATGCTCCACAAAGCTGGACCTTAGGGGAATAACCAAGACTGGCCAAAAGGGAAGAAAAATAAAAGTAAAAAAACAAGCATTTCAAAATTAACTACACAAGACTCTATATAACAAAATGATACGTAAAATGTCAACTATTCACATTTATGTGCAAATTCTTAAAATGGCGACTGTTATATTTTCACCTTGAAAACATAAATCAATGACCATAAATCCTAAAAAACAGTCTTTCATAAGAAGGCAGTCTAGCAGTTGGAAATTACTGCTAGGGAGGCAAAAGAAAAAGTATTCTTAGAAACAAAGATGCACTAGAAAACAGAGGAACCAAAAAAAACTTTAATAGGCATAAGTACTATCTGAGGTGAGAATGATACCTTAGCTTCCAGCCCCAACCTTTTGACCCTAGTGCACCTCCCCCACATCCTTACCTCTTTAACCTTTCCAAGCCCCTCTCCTCTTGCCCAAAGTATATGACTAACGCAGAACCATTCACTTGCTTTCTCATCCCCACCCACCACCTGATCCACCCATCACCTGAAGATCATTCTACCCAGGAAAGGGCTTCTCTAATTTGGCCATCAGGGCTCTAGGAAACATCGAGAAAAAGAAGAGAAACAGCATGTCTCTAATACAGCTGAAATACATATCCTCAGATCTCCTACACCAGCAACATTAACAGTATGGTCCAGGGACCCCTGGGGACAGACTCCTTTGCAGGGGTCTGTGAGGTCAAAACTGTTTTCATAATAACACTAAGATGTGATTTGCCCTTTTCACTTTCACTCTCTCACAAGTGTGCAGTGGAGTTTTCCAGGGGCTATGTCACTTTGAGGACTAAGGTGTGCCTGACCCAAGCCACAGTATTTTCAATTGCCTCATATGCACATGAAAGCTCGACAATGAATAAGGAAGACCAAAGAAGAAATAAAGCCTTTGAATTATGGTGCTGGCAAAGAATACTGAATATACCATGAACTGCCAGAAGAACGAACAAATCCATCTTGGAAGAAGTACAACCAGAATGCTCCTTAGAAGAATGGTTTAACTTTGTCTCACGTACTTTGGACATGTTATCAGGAGGGACCAGTCCCTGGAGAAGAACCTCATGCTTGGTAAACTAGAAGTTCAGTGAAAAAGGAGATCTTTGTCTTAATCATCTAGTGCTGCTATAACAGAAATACCACAAGTGGACAGCTTTTAACAAAGAGAAGTTTATTCTCTCATAGTCCAGCAGACTACAAGTCCAAATTCAGGGCATCAGCTCCAGGAGAAGGTCCCCCCTCTGTCGGCTCTGGAGGAAGGTCCATGTCATCAATCTTCCCTTGGTCTGGGAGCTTCTCTGCACAAGAACCTCAGGTCCAAAGGATACGCTCTGCTCCCGGAACTGCTTTCTTGGTGATATGAGGTTCCCATGTGTCTCTGCTCGCTTCTCTGTTTTATATCTCAAGAGACTGGCTTAAGACACTATCTAATCTCGTAAACCTCATCAGTATAACTGCCACTAATCCATCTTATTAGATCATAGTGACAGAGTTTACAACACGTAAGGAAATCACATCAGATTACAGAATGGTACACAATCATACAATATTGGGAATCATGACCCAGCCAAGTCGACGGATATTTTTGGCCAACACAATTCAATCCATGACAATCCACAACAAGATGAACTAACAAAGTGGCTGCAACAATGGGCTCAAACACAGCAACGACTGTGAGGACGGCGCAGGACCAGGCAGTGTTTTGTTCTTTTGTATACAGGGTGTCTATGAGTCAGAAATGACTCAACGACACCTAACAACAACATGTGATGTTTGATATCCAACAGACTGAATGCTAAAGCATACATGAGAATCCAACTGTCTTCTATAAATCAGACATTAAGAGATTTGCGAAAATGGGGAACACTGACACTTTTCTTGCTAACTTTTTTGTTTTGGATGATATTTGTTTTTTAATAAAAAAATATTATGCTAACATGAAAAGAGTTTATTACTGTTATCCTGCAATGAATAACATTTAAAAAATTTTTGTTTTAATTTCTAAAATGGTAAATATCAGTAGCTATAACCAACATAAACAAAAGGTCTTTGGGGGTCCGCAATAATGTTTAGGAGTATAAAGGAGTCCTGAGACCAGAAGGTTTAAGAATCACCTTCTTCACATGTCTTTTAGGAAGAGGGGATGGAATGACCCAGGAAATAAATCTGTTTTGTTCATCAGATGAATGGGGGTAGGGTGGGTTGGAGCTACTAAGTAAGAAAAGAAAAAGAAGTAATACTTTTTGACTAGTCAAATTGACAAGGATTAAAAAGATTTTTTTTAAAAATAGGCAAAGGAAATGAACAGACACTTCACCAAAGAAGACATTCAAATGGCCAACAGACACATGAGGAAATGCTCACCATCACTAGCCATTA